AAATGCCCTAAAAATCCAAGTTCATATTTTTGGTGTTTTTATGAAAATAATTTAAGTGTTAATTAATAATAATAAAAATCCTAATTCTAATTGATTTTAATTAATAAAAAGCCTAAAATCTAATTATCCAAAAAATCAATTAATTAGTTTACACTATAAAATTAATTTTTTGTTGCTTTTATTATTGGCTTCTTTTTGATTTTTTTATGTATAAGTTTTGAATAAAAAAGTTAATTAATAATAAAACAACTAATAAAAAGAAAGTGAAAATGAAAAAAGTAAAACAAAAAGGGTTTTGGCATCGCTGGGGTTCGAACCCCCTCCCTTCTCTTCACACGTTTGGTTCCAACCTGTTCTATGTTTTTTGTTTAACACATATGGACATATGAAACTTATTAATAACACAAGAATTAAGAAATTTGAAATTATAAAATCCTTACCACCTATGTGATTGAGTGGAGGCGTTATGGGCACGGTTGAGCGTGGTTATGGAGTTAAGGAGATTCTTGGGGATGTTAGGATGATGATTCGAGGCTTCGTTTCAGTTGAGAATGGCTGGAAAACTAGGATACGATTTTCACCTATTCTTTGAAAATTTTGTGTTTGATAACTTGTTTATATGGCAGCCAATCTGTGTGTGTCCTTGTCTTATGAAGTGTGTCCTCTATTTATAATGGATGATTTTTTAAGTTAACATTCTTGGAAGGAAACATGTGCAATCAAAGTCATTATTTGTTTCCAAAACAATTGCAAAACTTTCCAAAACATGAAGATCTCTTTCCTTCTTCATCCCTCACAGTTTTATTATGTTGGATATGTGATCTTGGGCTTCAAAATGATCCAAAATAAAAGCCCACATGCCTTGTACATTTATTTAATCTTTATTTAATTTAATTTTGAATTTAAATGAATAAAATCAAAATAAATGAAATAAAAAATTAAAATAATGTATGAATGGACTTAGGAGTCCCTAAACATGTCATAAACACGTTTGGACTTCAAAAGTTAGGCTCATTAGCCTAAAAGTCTAAAATTGCTCAATTGCGGTTTTATGTATTTTCTCAAAATTGTTCAACTTGCACCAATCATAACTCTCTCAAATTTTGTTATATGAAGGCGATCTTAGACTTTTTGGAAAGCTAAAAATGTTCTCTACAACTCTCATGTTTGTCACTTTTTTATTTGAAGTCTTTAAGTTGATGTAAATTGCTTTGACAAAAGATGTCTTTTTGTTGACTTTTAAAATGATCTGTAATGTTTTGGCCTATATCTCTCAAATGAAGCATTTTTGGCCTTGAGCTTAAAGAGATAAAGTTGTAGAGAATTGAATTTTCTTCAAGTTAGGTTTTGGTTGAGAAATTTTTGATGAAGCATGTGAAAGTTATGCTTGGTCAAAGTTCAGTTGACTTCACCTTAAGAAAACCCTAATTTGGTAACTTTTGTCTTTTGATGAATCTTGAGTTTTCTTGATGAATCATGATCAACCCTTGATCAAATGATGAATGTGACTTCAAAATATTAATGTTGACCAAAAATCTTAAAGTTTGACTGTATGTTGACCATAATTAACTTTTTATCTAATACAGTTAATTTTCAATCATCTGAGCAATTGAATGAGCAAACTTGTGATGCAAGGCTTGAAACTTGTCATGAGGGTACCTTGAAGCATATGAGAAACCATAACACTCACTTGAGGCATTAGGAGTCCAATTTTTCTTGAGAAAACCTAAACCTAATTGTAGGCCATTGCTTAGGAGAGATGCTTGTATGCTCAAACCCTTGAGTATTCTTGAGCAATTGATAATTCTAGGAGCACGAGGAGGTATCTTGAATCATTTGTCTTCAAAAATGGGAGGATAAATTTTGGGGTACAACACCCACAAAAAACAGGGCAAAGCAGAGCCAACATAGTAGACAATGCAGGTCTAAAATCTTTGCTTTTCCACTAAAAAATGAGTGTTGGCCGAGGCGGGCCTGATAGGCACTGCTAAAACTTACAAAAATTCACGCCCATCTCGTTAATGCTTGCTTCTGAAAAAAATAGAAGAGATAAACATAATAGGGAATGCGAGCCTAAAACCTAGATTTGCTCCGTAAAAAAATGCAGACAAAATAAGCATATTCGACAGGATCAGACCCATTTTACCACCGATAACAATTTGTATCACTAATTATTTAAATATTACTTACTTATTATTATTTTAAAATGATATTGAAAAATACTCAAGTTATCTCAACCTACGTTTTTGTTGTTGATAGTTTTATTTTTTAAATTATATTATGAATTTGTTTCAATAATATATAATTATGTAATTGATAAATATTTAATTACAAATATGCAATATTTTCTCTTCTATGAAGTCCATTCTCCTCTGAAGTCTTTATTTCTGGTTCAACAACGATATTCAACATGATTTTGTTATATGTAATTATTAATAAGTTGTTATACAATCTCCAACTTCTCTTTGCTTTTTTATTTAGTATCTTAAATTATTTTCAAATTTTGATGTATTTTAAAAATGGTCTAATCTATAAATTATTAATAATTGTTATCCATTGATATATACTTATGAATTAATAACTAACATCCATAAATATAAATAGAAAATAATTATTTTTAACTAATAAAATCTCCAACTTCTGTTTGCTTTTTTATTTAGTATCTTAAACTATTTTCAAATTTTGATGTATTTTAAAAATGGTCTAATCTATAAATTATTATAAATATATTTGTTAATAATTATTATCCACTCATATATATACTTTTAGTTAATATCCACAAATATAGGTAGAAAATAAAAAATTTCAACTAATAAATAACTAATTATTATTATTATTATTATTATTATTATTATTATTATTATTATTATTATTATTATTATTATTATTATTATTATTATTATTATTATTATTATTATTATTATTATTATTATTATTATTATTATTATTAGTAATTTTGTTAGTTATATTACATATTTATTTTGTTACTTTACTGATCAAATATTTCAAAAAAATTACAATTTTTTTAATACTTTTTTTAAATAATTTATAATTATTTGAGAATTATTTTTGAAGTAAACTCACATTTTATTTTTCTAACAAAAAATGAGTATTAGAAAGAGTATTAACAAGAAAATATTTTTAGTTTTTTTTTAAAATAAAATAAAAATTTAAATTCATATTCTACAAAAAAATTTATACCGATATTTAATAATAAGTCATGATATTATTAGATAAATTCATTTTATAATAATTTAAAAATAAAACTCTAAATTTTGTTTTGGTTTAACTATATTGTTAGTAATAAAAGAACATTTTTTATTTATTATTTTGAATTTCAATTATAGCATTATATTTTCATTATAAATATACTAATTTTTATTATTGCAATCATAGTTTTATTCCACTTTATTTTGTTTAAGTCTATATAAAAATTTAATCTATATCGAAAGTAAACCACATAATATATATACTATTTAACTTCTTATATAATTTAAGAGATTAACATTATTAATTACAACAACCCATTATTTAAAAAAAACAAAAATATTCATCTATATAATTACAATAGCTTGTTACATATTTTTCTCGTTATCTATCTCTTCTTTTACGTTCTACGGGCTTCATAATGGCTGGTCTTCATGGTTTGCTTTTCTTGTTTTCTTGATCCGCTTTCTAAGAGGAAGATTGTTAGGGATTTGTTTATTGATATGCTTTTCGGATTGTAGAAATTGGGAATTTTTCAGATCATTAGACTCTTCTTTTATGGATCAATTCAATTATCGAGAATTTTTTGATATAATTCTTCATTGGATTATCAAGATATTCGTTTCTGTTTTGCAGCGAGTCGGGATTCTTGATGTAATGGATAAGAACAGAGAACGGTTAGAGAAATCAAATTTCATGGCTTGATGTTAGGGTTTGCTAATCCTCCTTTCTTAATGGATTTGTTTCGTTTTCTTAGATTGCTGATCGTGTTTTTTAATGGATTTGCGTTGCATCTTGATACGTTATCTGGATTATGATACGTTTTCTTAATGGATACATTTTCTCAGACTGCAGACCGTGTTCTTCTTAGATGGCTGATCGTGTTTTCTTAATTGATTTGCCTTGCACATTGATACGTTTTCTCAGATCGATTGTTTTCTTAATGGATTTGCCTTGCACCTTGATACGTTTTCTGAGATCTTATGAAGTACACACATGAAACTGACTGATACGACACACACAAGAGCATAGAACAGTTCCATAGATAAATTAGATAAGCTGGCTTTTATTACAAGACATGCAAATTGAATTTTGAACATGTTTTCTGCAGCTTGGTTTGTCAAAACAATAACCTTTTTCACAAAGCATGCAGCCTAGCATTTTGATTTGGTGTTCTATATTAAATTATTTTTGTTTTCAGTACTGAGAACATTTCTGGACTTATATTTAATTCTTCATTTAAATTCAGAATGTCTTGATACAACAACAAGAATGGAAAATAACAGACAGCTAAATCAAAGTTTTTTAATGGGCCATTCTTTACTATTTTTTATTTCCGCCTATTGATTGCAAGGCATACAAATTGATTTCTGAATGTGTCTTTCAAGGCATTTTGATTATTGATTTGGTGATCTATTAAATTCCTTTTATTTTCAATATTTCTTTATCAATTCTGAAAGCTTATCTTCCTTGATTTGGTGCTACACATTGGTGTTGCAGGATACACACAATTTCTTCTAGTTCTATTTTCCTCTTGTTTGATCATCATGGCTGTTGATTTTTTGGTTTCTTGATTCTTAGGTTTGATTTTGTTTTTGTTAGTTTTGACCTTGGATATTGTTAGAGTTTTAAATGATTGTTCTTTTGGGTCAACTATTATTCTTTGTGTACATATGGGTGTTTTGCGATTAATTTGTTGGCAGCACTTATTGGCAACCCCCCTGGAATTTTGGTTTGAATTTTCTGTTTTAAGGTATTGCAGATTGATATCAAATAATGGTAATGTTTTGCATTTATCGCCTTAAATTGCAAATTGAAACTTGTGTAGTATCCAGCAATGTAAAATCAAGCAAATAGTTTTTTTTATTAAAATATACTCTTGGATTGAGAATTCTTTTCATTTCACTTCTTCTATATAGTTTTATCACCCTATTTTCTCGATTTACTCCTTTATGGTTTTGTTTTCTCGATTTACTCATTTTGGTCTTGTTTTCTCGATTTACTCCTTTGCATAATCGTTCAATCAATGATGTTAAAATTAATCGTTCAATGCTGTTAAAATTAAAAGCATATTGACATGTGCATTTCTTGGTATCTGGAGCAATTTGCATTTCGTGATTACAATGGATAAGAATAATAATGGTTATTGAAAGGAGTCGTTCTTAATTAATTTTATTTTAAGAATTTGATCACAAGACATACAAAGGAGACGCTCTTTATTATTTTTATTGAGACTTTGATCACAAGACATTTTGAATTATAAACATGTTTTTCAGCAGCTTGGTTTATCAAAATAATTTTCAATATAGCATGGAACGTAGTTTTTTATTTGGTGATCTCTTTTAAAATCTTAGTTTTCAATAATTCTTTATCCCTTTTGTAAGCATATTATTCTTGATCTTTTATTTCATCTGGTGTTGCAGGAATGGTAGTTCTGGAGCATATTATTCTTCCTGTTTTGTATTCTGATTCCTTTCTGGTTTTTTGATTCTGAGTTTTGATTTTGTTCTGGCTTTTATCGCCATACATGTGAGTTGAAATATGGCTCTGTTTTCTGACGTGGTGTATTTTGTGTAGTATCGTGCCTCGAGTTTATTTTGGTATTCCTTTGTGATTTCAATTCGATGTTTTATTTTTTATTAGTCTATTGGTGTTTAATTGAGAAGTTCAGTCTTAAGGGTTCTTGACATCAATACTACTTTTTTCTTACAAATGTTTGTTTACATTTGGGTTTTTGTATTTAGAAAGCGCAAAAGCTTACTTAATTTTTGAGACAATCAGACAAATTTGCGGGTCTCTCTCTGTTATGCTGACCTGAAACTTGGTTTGGAGAATTATATAATATTCTTTTTTTCTTCTTGGATCTCTTTCTACAACTTATAGGTCAGAGTTTAATTTTTCTGTACATCAATCGTCTGTTGCTGACAGAGTAAGTTAGCTGTACAAAAGTTTTCTTATTTCTGAATCACACTCCCACCTTTTTAGTTGGTCTGTAGTGGAGAAATTGGAGATAAGTGTATCTGATTTGTGTAAATTATCTGCGCTGAAAGAATACAAGGATACATAATCCAAATTGTTCTGCTAGCCGGGGTATATATTTTCTAGTATTTAATTTGGGCAACTTGTTTAGGTATGTTTTGAGGATCTGTCCCCTGGGGTCTGTTGTTATTTCTGTTTTATGATGTAGGCCCAATAACTCATTTGGTATTAGGTGGAAGCTCAAACTGTCATGTTTCATATTGGGTACAAGTACTTGCAAATTGGCTGAAAGTTTGTGTCTGGGAACCATCATTTCTTCAGAGGTTGTGTTGCATTCTTTAATTGGTCATTTCTAATAAGAAAGACAATTAACATTTCAGTGTGATTGATACTCAACAATTTTGAATTCCTTTGAATTTTGTGCGAGTCTTATAGGGGAGACAAAGACATCCTATCAAAGTCTGGTGTGTTGTGGCCCGTGGCCTGTGGCAATAGAGGTTAACATACTATTCTTCCAACGTTGAGATTTTGTATTTTTGTAGCAGAAATATAATATTGAAGCATAAAAGATTCTAGATTATAGTACATCTTTCTGCCCGGGCCAAGGAATTCTTGACAATTTGGTTTGGATCACTTTTTTTCTGTTAGCCACTTCCTCTGTTATGATTACTCTACTACATTGTTGTCATATGTGTTACTATATATAAGAAGAAGAATAATCACAAATGGATATTTTTCCAAGTAGGGAAGGCCAAAAGTTTTCTCTTTCACATGGAGCACCAATCTGCAATTGGCTGTGGCATATATTATCACGGTCACTATGTTTTTATCTGGTGATCTATACTCTGAATATGAATTCTTCTCTTTTCTGTGTACCTTGGGATTCTAGTTTTCTTGATTCCTTAAATTCCATGTGAGTGTCACAGAGATTATATGGACTGTGAATGACGAGATTATCAAGGACATGCTTTGACCCTAAGGATAAAACAGGGCATTTTTTTCTTAAATGTACTTGCTATGGACAGAAGTTATGTTTTGATGGTGTAATGTGGTAATGTTGGTGGTTTCTGTGATCGTAGGACAAAATTTTGACCATGTGATTTCTTTGGGATCTATCTTCCTCAGTTTGTGAATTCATTCTTGTTTTATCACCTTCAATACATCAGTTCTCATTTGTCTTACCAATAACTCTACTCTGAAACAGCGACTGGTGTACTGTTTGTTTGGCTAAAGTAGTTCCATTTTATTTGAACTTATGTTTCGCAAAACTTTGGACATCGGCATGCCATATTATTCAAAATTAAATTTGTGAAAAGCTCTAAAATCCATCATGTGAATGCAGCGTAGTTACAAAACATGACCAACCCTAAGTCTTCTCAGGACCAGGTGAGGATGTGTTTATCATGAGGGGAAAGTCTACTCAATCTCAAATTATCAAACTTCCGGTGGCAAGTCCAAAAATATTGAAAAAGGTCATGTGGGAGTTATTGGACATGTGATTTTGTGACACTAAATTCCTTTCTAAGTTCATTATTGAAATATTTTTTATTTTGTTATCAGGTTTTGATCAGGCTTACTGTGTTGAAGCAAGTAATTACTTTGTAGCATCAAGTCTCGGTTTGTTTAATGTGTTAACAATGACTTGACTATTACTGTTAACATACCTGTATATATCTGTTCCACAAGAGACCTCCCTTGCTTTCATGCACAACATTGCTACCTTCTCTATGTTATATCAATTTGTGGGCATGTGATCTACATCCAAAGAGTTATTCTTGTACTCTTTTACTCTCTGTTCGTGTTATTGATTATATATAGGAATAGAAATTCATTTCCTCTAAGGATTTCATCGGGCGCCCAAATTCATTATTGGAACCATCATATTCTGCAGACTGTAAGATATTTTCTAAGGAATTCGAGTCACGTACATTCCAGTGATTGTTACTTAGAATCTGCAATTTTAATTCTCTGATTTTATCATCGGTGCTATAGGTCTTATTTGTGGGTTCTTAAAGTGGCTGCTGAGATTTACCCCAACCTTGTGACAAAATTGGTCATTTTTTCTATTTGTGTATTTTTTCAGTTATCTTTTGATTATCTTACCTGCCAGGATTAATTAAGCAAGATTCTGTAGAAAACTTGTTTCATTTAAGTGAACAGTGTGTTTGAGGCTTATGTTTTCGATGAATATCTTCTTTGGCATATTTGGTGAAGTATCTCCATCCGGTGTTCGGTAAATTGTGGCTCATATTGAGGTCCAAAATCTTCAATTTGATGGCAATTGGTCCAAGCATAAATATTCTGTCGGTTGTGTTATAAATCCCTAAATCCCTTTTTCTCTATTTGTATATAAATATTCTCCCCTATTTCTCTCTATTTGTATATTTATCCCTAAATCCTTCAATTCTCCCCTATTTCTCTCTATTTGTATATAAATCCCTAAATCCATCAATTTTAGAGCATTTGTTATTTTAATTTCTTTTGTAACCGTTCAGTTTTTATTGTTTGTGATTTCTGCATGGTTTTGTTCACTGCGATTTCTTGAGATTTTGGACATGTTGGTTGGGTTGCATTGTAAGTTATAATTAAATTTCAAATAGTTCTACTATAACTATTCTTATATGGTAAGTTATAATTAAGAATCTATTTGATGTTCAGCTAGTTGAAATATCCCTCTTATATTAGATTTATATCCCATAAAAATTCATATCTTATCCTGCAAAGATACAATAAATTCAAATAATATTTGATATACAAATTTGAATGATACAATATTAATTCTAAATCCATATGTATCTTATCCAACGTTTTACACTGTCTTATTTAGAGAAATTGAGAATTTTCTGAATCATTCGACTTTTCTTTTATGGATCAGTTATCAAGAATTTTTTGATATAATTCTTCATTGGATAATCAAGATATTCATTTATCTATTTTGCAGCGATTTGGGATTCGTCATGTAATGGATAGCGGAGAATGCCTTTAGAGTAATCAAATTTCTTCAATTCTGTACTTAAATATTTTTTATCTCTGACATATGACTTTTTCGAATTGTTTGTTCCATCATGGCTTGATGTTTGTTCCATCTGGCTTGATGTTAGGGTTTGCTAATCGTGTTTTCTTAATGGATTTCCATTGTGTATTGATATGTTTCCTCAAATTGCTGAATATGTTTTCTTGATGGATTTGCGTTGCGTTTTGATACATTTTCTCAGATTGTTGATCTTTAATGGGGACGTTTTCCCAGATTGCTGCTTGTGTTTTCATAATGGATTTGCGTTGTAACTTCATACGTTATCTCATATGGCTGATCATGTTTTAATAATGGGTTTAAGTTACTATGAATCATTTGTTATCTAAAAACTTCATACGTTATCTAAAAACTCATAATACGACACACAAGAACAGAGAATAGCTCCAGATAGATGCATCAGATTTCTTCAATGATTCTTTTTCTTTTCTTTTTCCTGGCTTATATTGGAAGACATGTAAATTGAGTTTTGAACATTTTTTTCTGCAGCTTGGTTTGTCAAAATAATAACCTTCTTCGAAGCATGCAGCAGCCTAGCCTTTTGATTCAGTGATCTTTTTTAAATTATTTTTGTTTTCAATCCTAAGAGCGAATCTTTCTTGAAGTCAACTTTTGATCTTAGTCGACTTTTGATCTTGTACATGCTGTTGTTGAAGTTTGTGTTTCTTCCAGTATTGAAGCTTTTGTGTGTTTCTATTATCAGGGACTTATATCCTATGTAGCACCGAATCCGATGCAGACACTAGGACCTGAGACACACACTTTGAAACCGATAATGTCAAAGACATAGTACACCGACACCGATAGTGTTAGAAGTGTTAAAAATATCCTAACTAAAATTATTTACTTTAATTTTTCACTGTATAGTTTCAATGCATATTTAATTTAATCTCTTAGATTGCATGTTTGAGATTTGTCTTAAGGTGGGTTAAAACAGAAAAAAACAATTTTTTTTAAGCATGCGTTTAGATTCCCCGTCAATGTCTTACGGGTGTGGAGACTCTTGTTTGATTTTTCCGACACTTGTCAGACTTATGTTTCTGTCTTCTGGGATCTAGTTTTCTTGATACAATAGATAAAAACCGAAAACTACTAGAGAAATCCAATTTTTTCAGTGATTTGTCCTGTTATTTTTATTTCTTTGCTTTCATGTGAAGACACTCTTAGTTTTGATTACTCTATTGATGTTTAACTTAAAAGTTCAGTCTTTAGGGTTCTTGACATCAATACTACTTTTTTTTTATAAATGTTGTTCTACATTTTGGATTTTGTATTTAGGAAGGGCAAAAGTTTACATAATTTTTGAGACATTCGGACAAATTGGTGGGTCTCTCTCTGTTATGTTGATCTGCAACATGGTTTGGAGAATTATGCTATATTATTTCTTTCTTCTTGGTTTTTTATTTACAAGCTATATGTCAGTTTAATTTTTCTTTACATTTATTGTCTTGCAGACCGTGTAAGTTTGTTGTACAACAAAAGGTTTCTTAATTCTGAATCACACTCCCACCTTTTTAGTTGGTCTATGGTGAAGAAATTGGAGAAAATTGTATCTACTTCTTTGTATAAATTATCTCCGGTTAAAGAATAAAGGATACGTAATCGAAAATCTTTTGCTAGCTGGGGTATATATTTTGTAGTATTTAATTTGGACAACATGGTTAGGTACGTTTTGACGATCCACTCCTTGGCGTCTGTTGTTATTTCTGGTTTATGATGTATGCCCAATAGCTCCATTGGAATTATGCGGAAGCTCAAATTGTCATGTTTCATATTGGGGACAAGTACTTGCAAATTGGCTGGAAGTTTGTGTTCGGGAACCATCATGTTTTCAGAGTTTGTGTTGCATTCTTTAATTTAGTCATTCCTACTAAGACAATTAACATTTCAATGTGTTTGATACCAGGCAATTTTGAATTCCTTTGAATTTTCTGCGAGTCTTATAGGGGAAACAGAGACAACCATTCATTTTTATGGAAGTCTGGTGTGCTGTGGCCTGTGGCAACAGAAGTTAACATATTGTTCTTCCAACTTTGGGAATAACCCTTCATTTTTATGATATCTGTATTATTTTTGATGGTGTGTTCCAGGAGCGTTGGAGTTTTTGCATTTTTGTAGCAGAAGCATACAAGATTCTAGACTAGAGTACATCTTTCTTTCTCGAGCCAAGGAATTTGTGACAACTTTGTTTGGTTCACTGTTTCAGTTTCAGCTACTCTCTTTGTTATAATTGTTTCACTACATTCTCCCAAATGGATTATTGTCAGTGGGGTAGCCCGAAATTTTCCATTTCACATGGAGCACCAATCTGCAATTCGCTGTGGCATATATTATCACAGTTGGTATGTTCTTATCTGGTGATCTATACTCTGAATATGAATTCTTCTCTTTTCTGTATATTGGGATCTAGTTTTCTTGATTCCTTAAATTCCATGTGGGTGTCACAGGGAGTATATGGACTCCAAAAGCTGTGGCGAGATTATCAAGGACATGCTTTGAGCCTTAGGATAAAACTGGCCATTTTTTCCTTAAATGAGAAAACTTTGACCACATGATTTCTTCGGGATCTATCTTCCTCAGTTTGGAATTCATTTTTATTTTATCACCTTCTATGTATCAGTTTTCATTTGGCTTACCAGCAGCTGGTATGCTGTTTTCTTGGCCAAAGTAGTTCCACTTTATTTGTGTTTTATAAAACATTGGACATTGGCATGTCCTATGATTCAAAATTGAATTTGTGAAAAGCTCTAAAAGCCATCATGTGAATGAAGTGTAGTTATAAAACACGACCAACCCTAAGTCTTCTCAAGACCAAGCTGTGTTCATGTAGGTTTGTTGTAATTATTTGGATTTCTTGATGTCTGTATTAAATCAAAATACCATCTTTGATTGCTTAATTAACATGAGGGGAAAGACTACTCATTATTATCAGACTTCTTGTAGTCGGTGACAAGTCCAAAAATATTGAAAAAGGTCATGCGGGATTTATTGGATATGTGAGTTTATGACACCTATTTCCTCTCTAAATTCATCACTGAAATATTTTGTATTTTGTTATCAGATTTTCATGAGGCTTACTGTGTTAAAAAAATTAATTTCTTTGTAGCATCAAGCCTTGGTTTTTTTAATGCGGTGACAATCACAATTACTGTTAACGTACCCGTATATATTTGTTCCACAAAAGTCCTCCCATGATTTCATGCACAAATTGCTAAACAGAATTGTGGAGTATATCTCTTCTTGCTACCTTCTCTATATTTCATCAATTTGTGGCCGTGTTTGATTTGATGATCTACATCTAAAGATAGTCATTCTTGTACTCTTTTACTGTTTGTTTCTGTTATTTATTATGTACAGGAATAGGAATTCGTCTCCTCTAAGATTTTCATCAGGCACCACAATTCATTATTGGAGCTATCATGTTCTGCAGACTGTAAGATATTTTTTAAGGAATTCGAGTCATGTACATTTCAGCCAGAGTTTCTAAAAATGTGTAATTTTAATTCTTTGATTTTTATCATTGTTGTTATTGGTCCTATCAGCGGGCTGTTAAAGTAACTGCTGAGATTTAAGTAAGATTATGTAGAAGTTTCGTTTCATTTCGTAAGATAAACAGCGTGATTGAAGCTTTTGTTTTTGGTGAATATCTTCTTTGGCACATCTGGCAAAGTATCTCCATCCGGTGTTTGGTAAATTGTGGCTTATATTGAGTTCCAAAATCTGTAATTTGATGGCAATTGTTCCAAGCATAACGATTTTTTTGGTTGTGTCATATATTCTTCCCCTATTTCTAAATTTTAATCTGAAGATCTCTTTGTATCTAAAATACCGTATTCCTTAATAGGTTATTATTTAAACTACTCTGCAATTTTAGTGCATTTGTTATTTCAATTTCTTTTGTAAACGTTCAGTCTTTATTGTTTATGTGATTCATTAAGATTTTGGATATGTTGGTTGGGTGTATGATAAGTTATAATTATAATTCAAGTAATTCTACTATAACTATTCTTATATGGTAAGTTATTAAGAATCTATTTGATGTTCATCTAGTTGAAATATCCAGAACCTTTCCTGATTTTTAATTCCCAAAATTATAACCAAGAATGAAATCATATAAATCTAATTTCTAAAATGAATCCTCCTTCATTGCTAATTCTAATTGAAAGACATAAACGGTGAATTATGAATCTATTTTTCTATAGTGTGGTTTTTTAAAATATAAACGTTCTTCATGGCAGCCTCGGTTTTAATTTGGTGATCTATGGTAAATTCTTTTTATATTTCAGGATGTGCATACTATTTTTACTTCATCTTTTGAGGTTGTTTTTTTGGTTTGAATGAGGTTTGATTTTGTTTTTTTGGTTAGAATGAAGTTATTGAGTTCATTTAGGTTTTGTTTTAAGACTTGTCTTAACCTTTAGGTTAATCTAGTAAGGTCATGCAAAATATGAACTCTCATTCTTGGATAACGTACAAAAACATGATCGTCTCAACGGTTGATCTACAACTACGGTTGTCAACACTTCATGTTGGGCAAATAAGAGATAGTTATAACCGTCTCCACTATATAAGTGTGACTCTATGTCACAACCAGGTATGTTTTTACTTATTTATGAAGTTACATCTCATTTATAACGTACAAAAACACGGTCGTCTCAACGGTTGATCTACAACTACGGTTGTCAACACTTCATGTTGGGGAAATCAGAGATAGTTATAACTGTCTCCATTATATAAGTGTGACTCTATGTCACAACCAGGTATTTTTTTACTCATTTATAAAGTTACATCTCATTCACATACTAATTTGAGCGTTGGAGTGCTAACCTTTTGCAGGTACTCCCTCTGACCACTACACCAGAAGTCTTACATCAACAGTCATCTTCAACCTTACATTGTTTCAATACAGAATATTTATAATTTTGCATCAATTATTTTATTAATGGAATTGGGTATAGATGTAATCTATGAAGCACACACATGAAACTGACTTGACACATGTTTTCATTTGATAATTAAGAGATATGTATATCCATTTTGCAGCGAGGCAAGGATTTCCTTCATATCTAAAACCTCATGATACTACACACAAGAACAGAGAACAACTCCAGATAGATAAATTAGATTTCAATGATTCTTTTTCTGTCTTTTATTACAAGACATGCAAGTTGAATTTTGAACATGTTTTTCTGCAGTTTGGTTTGTCTTAATAATAACCTTCTTCAAAGCATGCACAGGAGCTAGCTTTTTGATTCAGTGATCTGTACTAAATTATTTTTGTTTCCAATCCTGAGAGCAGCATATCTTTCTTGAAGTTTGCCTTTTGATATTTTACAAGTTGTTGTTGAAGTTTGTGTTTCTTCTGGTGTTGAAGCTTTTGTGTGTTTCTATTGTTAGGGACTTATATCCTATAAAGCACCGAATCCGACCAAGAAACGACATTGTCACTCCGACGTTGATAATGTCAAAAACATAGTACATTGACACCACTACATATAAATGATAGTATTTAAATTTCATTTATCCATCTATTATTAAAGAGTTAAAAATCTCATAATTAAAATTATTCTTTAATTTTTCATTAATAATATTGCTTTAATACATATTTAACTTATAAAGCACCGAATCCGACACTGACACCAAGACACAACATCTTCACTCCGACATCGATACTGTCAAAAACATAGTACATCGAGACCACTACATATAAATGGTAGTATTTAAATTTCATTTAGCCATCTATTATTAAAGAATTAAAATTATCATAATTAAAATTAGTCTTTGATTTTTCATTAATAACATTGATTTAATACATATTTAACCTTTTAGATGTTTTGGGGAAGCAGATTCTCTAACTTCTTATTCTCTAACTTTTCCTAACTTTAGGATTATTTCATGAGAGAGAAGTGAAGAAGAGGTGAACACATGGAGGGAAAACATTAGAGAGAAATTGTGTTATTTTGAAGAAGAGCTAGTGAAAGGTACGGTGCAGTTCCCTCAATAAAGTCAGAGGATCCACACTCGTGTGTTGAGTCTGGATTTTCTTACATTTGTCTGACTTTTTAGACATTAAGTTTGTTGTTTCACAAAAACACTAATTTGTAATTGGCTGTGACATATATATTTTCATTGTTATCCTTTTATTTGGTGATCTCTACTCTGACTATGAATTCTTTATGTTTTTGTCTTTTGGAATCTAGTTTTCTTTATACAACAGATAAGAACCTAAGAACTACTACAGAAAAATCAAATATTTTTAGTGATTTGTCCTTTGTTATTTTTTTTCTTTGTTTTGATGTCAAGACATTCGAATGAACTGTGAACATGTTTTTCATTTTGCTTGCACATTTTATAAAATTAACAACATTCATTGCAAGAGAGCCTCGTGTTTTGATTTGGCCCTCTCTTGTAAATTCTTTTTGTTTAATATTTCTTGATTCTTTCTAGAGCATAAGAACTTGTTATGTATTCTTTGGGGTTGCAGGAAAGGATGTACTTTTGATTCCTTGATTCTAATGTCTGTCTTCTATTTTTGCTGTTTTCTTATTTCTTCTTTACTGGGCAGCTTTTTTGTTTTGTTTCTTGTTTATGTCTTTTTGGGTGTTCTATCTGAGTGTTACAGGATTGCGGAAGTTGTCGAGAACAACTCAAGATAAATCCAATTTAATCCAATTTTTCAATGATCCGTTGTTTGTTATTTTTAAATTTTTGGTTTGATTTCAAGACATTTCCTAATGAACTGTGAACATATCTTCTGCAGTTCGGTTTTTCAAATTAATAACCTTCATTGCATGAGATCCTCGATCTTAATTAGGCCATCTTTTGTAGATTTTTTTAGTTTATAGTTTTCTGTAGACCATATATTTCTTGATTTGTTATTTACTCTTTTAAGTTGCCGGAGAGGATATGATTTTTGATTTCTTGATCTTTTAAAATCTTAGTTTTCAATAATTCTTTATCCCTTTTGAAAGCATATTATTGTTGATCTTTTATTTCCTCTGGTGTTGCAGGAAAGGTAGTTCTGGAGCATATTATCTTCCTGTTTTGTATTCTGATTTCTTTCTGGTGTCTTGATTTTGAGGTTTGATTTTGTTTTGGCTTTTATCGCAATACATGTGAATTGAAATATGGCTCTAATTTAGGATGTGTAGTATTCAAGCCTCGAGTTTATATTACTATTCCGTTGTGATTTCAATTGGATGTTTTATTTTTTATTAGTCTATTGATGTTTAATTGAAAAGTTCAGTCTTAACGGTTCTTGACATTGGTTCTACTTTTTTCTTACAAATGTTTGTTTACATTTGGGTTTCTGTATTTAGAAAGCGCAAAAGCTTACTTAATTTTTGAGACACTCGGACAAATTTGCGGGCGTCTCTGTTTTGCTGATCTTCAACTTGGTTTGGAGAATCATATAATATTCTTTCTTTCTTCTTGGTTCTTTTTCTACAACCTAGAGGTCAGAGTTTAATTTTGACAACTTGGTTAAGTATGTTTTGCGATATGTTCCCTGGGGTCTGCTGTTATTTCTGATTTATGATGCATGCCCAATAGCTCATTTGGTATTAGATGGAAGCTCAAACAGTCATGTTTCATATTGAGTGTACTTGCAAATAGCTCATTTCTAATAAGAAAGACAATTAACATTTCAGTGTGTTTGATACTCGGCAATTTTGTATTCCTTTGAATTTTGTGCGAGTCTTATAGGGGAGACAGAGACAACCTATGAAAGTCTGGTGTGTTGCGGCATGTGGCCTGTGGCAACGTTGGGATACATCCCTTCTTTTTTCCAATATCTATGTTTTTTAGATGGTGTGTTCTGGGAGTTTTTGTATTTTTGTAGCAGAATCATAATATTGAAGCATATAAGATTCTAGATTAGAGTACATCTTTCTGCCCGAGTCAAGGAATTCTTGATAATTTGGTTTGGATCACTTTTTTTCTGTTAGCCACTTCCTTTTTTCTGTCATTTGTGTTATATATAAGAATAATCATTTGTGTTATATATAAGAATAAGAATAATCAGAAATGGATATTTTTCGAAGTAGGGAAGCCCAAATTTTTTCCCTTTCACATGGAGCACCAATCTGCAATTGGCTTTGATAATATATTATCACAGTTCTTATGTTTTTATCTGGTGTTCTATACTCAGAATATGGATTCTTCTCTTTTCTGTTTATCTTGGGATTTTAGTTTTCTTGATTCCTTAAATGCTATGTGGCTGTCAGAGAGTATATGGATTGTGAACAGTGAGATTATCAAGGACATGCTTTGACCCTAAGGATAAAACATGCCATTTTTTCCTTAAATGTACTTGCTATGGATTGAAGTTATGTTTTTATGGTGTAATGTGGTAATGTTGGTGGTTTCTGTGATTGTAGGAGAAAATTTTGACCATGTGATTTCTTCGGGATCTATCTTCCTCGGTTTGTGAATTCATTCTTATTTTATCATCTTCGATATATCAGTTCCCATTTGGCTTACCAGTAACTCTACTCTGAAACAGCAGCTGGTATACTGTTTTTTTTTGCTAAAGTAGTTCCACTTTATTTGAACTTGTGTTTCGTAAAACTTTGGACATTCGCATGTCATATGATTCAAAAACATTTGGTGTTATAGGTCCTATTTGTGGGTTGTTGAAGTGGCTGTTTTAAGTGTTTGTTACTTAGAATGTGCAATTTTAATTCTCTTTGATTTTATCATATTGGTGTTATAGGTCCTATTTGTGGGTTGTTAAAGTGGCTGTTGAGGTTACCACAACCTTGCGACAAAATTGGTCGTTTTTTCTATTTGTGTATTTTTTTTAGTTATCTTTTGATTGTCTGACCTGCCAGGATTAATTAAGCAAGATTCTGTAGAAAACTTGTTTCATTTTGTAAGATGAACAACGTGGTTGAGGCTTATGTTTTCGATGAATATCTTGCTTAATTAATCCCCATCCGGTGTTTGGTAAATTGTGGCTCATATTGAGCTCCAAAATCTTCAATTTGATGGCAATTGTTCCTAGCAAAAATATTCTGTTGGTTGTGTTATATCAAGCCTTGTTTTGGTACTCAAATTTTTTTCATTTGATTTCTTCTCTGTCGATTATTTTTATCTAGTCTTATTTATTCTTTATGATTTCCAATTGGATGTTTTAGTTTTGATTAGTCTATTGATGTTTTCCAATTGGATGTTTTAGTTTTTTTAGTCTATTGATGTTTAATTGAGAAGTTCAGTCTTAAGGTTTCTTGACATCTATACTACTTTTTTCTTGCAAATGTTTGACCTACATTTGGGTTTTTGTATTTAGAAAGCGCAAAAGTTTACATAATATTTGAGACATTTGGAGAAATTGGTGGACCTCTCTGTTATGCTGATCTGCAACTTGGTTTGGAGATTTATGCTATATTCTTTCTTTCTTCTTGGTTCTTTTTCTACAACCTATCTGTCAGTTTAATTTTTCTGTACATTTCTTGTCTGTTGCTGATAGTAAGTTTGCTGTACGACAAAAGTTTTCTTAATTTTGAATCATATTCCCACCATTTTAGTTGGTCTATAGGGGAGAAATTGGAGATAAGTGTATCTGCTTCTTTGTATAAATTATCTCCGGTGAAAGAGTAATTAAGGATACATAACGTTTTCTGATCACTGGGGTCTGTTGTTATTTCTGATTTATGATGTAGGCCCAATAGCTCCTTTGGTATTATGTGGAAGCTCTAACTGTCATGTTTCAAATTGGGTACAATACAAGTACTAGCAAAAATTGGCTGGAAGTTTGTGTCCGGGAACCATCATGTCTTCCGAGGTTGTGTTGCATTCTTTAATTTGGTCATTTCTTCTAAGAAACACAATTAACATTTCGGGTGTTTGATAATCGGCAATTTTGAATTCATTTGAATTTTACGCGAGTCTTATAGGGGAGACAGAGACAACCTATGAAAGTGCTGCGGCCTGTGGCCAGAGGCAACAAAGGTTAACATACTATTCTTGTAACATTGGGATACAATCCTTCTTTTTTATAATATCTGTATTTTGTTTGATTCTGTTCTATGAGAGTGTTGGAGTTTTTGTATTTTTGTAGTAGAAGCATAATATTGAAGCATACAAGATTCTAGACTAGAGTACATCTTTCTGCCCGAGCCAATGAATACTTGACAACTTGGTAGGGCTCACTTTTTTTCTGATTGTACCACTCTCCCAAATGGATATTTATCGACGTGGGGAAGTCTAAATTTTTTCCGTTTCACATGGAGCACCAATCTGCAATTGGCTGTGGCATATATTATCAGTTATAATGTTTTTATCTGGTGATCTATACTCTGAATATGAACTCTTCTCTTTTCTATATCTTGGGATTCTAGTTTTCTTGATTCCTTAAATTCCATGTGGGTGTCACAGGGAGTATATGAACTGCGAAAGCGAGATCATCAAGGACATTCTTTGAGCCTTAGGATAAAATAGGCCATTTTATGGATTTAATTTACTTGTTATGGATTGCAATATTTTGTGTTTTGATGGTGTGATGTGGCAATGTTGATTTCGGTGTTTGTAGGAGAATTTTGACCACTTGATTTCTTTGGGATCTATCTTCCATTGTTTGTTCGTTTATGTTATTGATTTCCTGAATACAATATGAAGTCTTTTTCCTTGCGGGTTTCAATTTTGGAATTTGTTCTTATTTTATCACCTTCAGTATATCAGTTTTCATTAGGCTTGCCAATAACTCTACCCTGAAACAGAAGCTGGTATGCTATTTTCTTGGCTAAAGTAGTCCCAATTTGGACATTTTCATGTCATAAGATTCAAAATTCAATTTGTGAAAAGCTCTAAAAGCTATCATGTGCATGCAGTGTAGTTTCAAAACAGGAGCAACCCTAAGTCTTAAGTCTTCTCAAGATCTGGTGAGGATGTGTTCATCTAGGTTTGCTGGAATTATTAGGATTTGTGGATGTCTATGTATTAAATCAAAATATTATCTTTGATTGCTTAATTAGCATGAGGGAAAAGATTTATGAATCTCAAATTATCAGACTTCTTGTAGTCGGTGGCAAGTCCAAAAATATTGAAAACTGGTCCCGTGGGAGTTATTGGACATGTGAGTTTGTGACACTTAATTTCTTTCTAAATTCATCATTGAAATATTTTGTATTTTGTTATCAGGATTTTTACCAGGCTTATTGTGTTGAAGCAATTAATTTCTTTGTAGCATCAAGCCTTTGTTTGTTAATGTGGTGACAATGACAATTCATGTAGGCTACCACAAAAGTCCCCCTTGATTTCATGCACACATTGACAACGCTGTGAACAGAATTGTGGAGTATATCTCTTCTCGCTTCCTCTAAGGATTTCATTGGGCACCAAAATTCATTATTGGAACCATCATCTTCTACGGACTGTAAGATATTTTCTAAGGAATTCGAGTCATGTACATTTCAGTCACTGTTTCTAAGAATGTGCAATTTTTATCATCGGTGTTATAGATCCTATTTGTGGGCTGTTAAAGTTGCTGCAAAGATTTACCACAACCTTGTGACAATGTTCGTCATTTTTTCTACTGGTGCACTTTTTCAGTCATCTTTTGATTGTCTAACATGGTAGGATTAAGTAATATTTTTTAGAAAACTCATTTTATTTCGTAAGATGAACAGTATAGTTGAGGCTTTTGTTTTCCATGAATATCTTTTTTGGCACATTAGGCAAAGTATCTCCATCTGGTGTTTGGTAAATTGTGGCTAATTTTGAAATCCAAAATTTGCAATTTGATGGCAATTGTTCCAAAGCATAAATATTTGGCTGTGTCATATATTATCCGCCTATTCCTAGATTTAAATGTAAAGATCTCAATTTGTATATAAATACCTTATTTCTTAATGTGTTATTGTCTAAACTACTATGCAATTTTAGTGCATTTGTTATTTCAAGTTATTCTTTAAGCGTTCAGCTTTTATTGTTTATGTGATTTCTGCATGGTAAGTAATTATATTTCAAATGGTTCTACTATTACTATTCTTATATGGTAAGTTACAATTAAAAATCTATTTGATGTTCAGCTAGTTATAATAACCAGAACCTTTCCTGATTTTCAATTCCCAAAATAATATCCAAGAACGAAATCATATCAATCACATTTCTAAAATGAATCCTTATATGGTAACTAATTTTGATTGAAAAACATATGTGGTGAATTATGAATCTATTTTCTTGCAGTGTAAACATACTATTTTTATCTTCATCTTTTGAGGTTGATTTTTTGAGTTTTCTGAATGAAGTTTAATTTGGAATTTGTTGGTTTTAATTTTAGAGCATGCCAATGATTTGGTGATGTTATTCAGTTCTTTTAGGTTTTTGTTTTAAGACTTGTCCTAAACTTCATGTTTAATCTAGTAAGAGTTTGCAAAATAAAGTGAACTCTCAATCTTGGACAACTTACAAGAAACCCCCTTCCATCTCAACCGTTGACCTACAACTATAAGTCGTCTATATTTCACACTACAAATCAAAGATAGTTATATCCATCTCCACTATATAAGTGTGACTTCATGTCAAAGTCAGGTATTCTTTTATTAATATTTTTTAAGTTTCATCTTATTCATCTACTAACTTGAGCGTTGGAGTGCTAATTATTTTTTGCAGGTACCTCTTCTGTTCACCACATTGAATATCTTATCGCAACATCAACTTGAACCTTACCTAGTTTCAATAAGGAATAGTTATGGTAGAATGTTCTTTCAAATATAATTTATCTTAATATGATATGATCATGTTCATACAAGTCTTTTGCGTAGTACTAAGCTTCAGGTAAATTTTGATACAATCTTAAATTGTGAATTTTATTTCATTTCATCTTTGTTGTCCTCAACTATAGTCTTGATATTTTTCATTCCTTTTTGACGGTTAGGTGGTGGTTGTTATGATACTTCACTTGGGTTGAGCTAGTTATTCTCCAAGCTATCATAAATTTATGGAGACTGTAAGTTAATTATGGTTCAACTGTGATAATAATTTAGGGTCTTATTTATTTATTTATTTAAGATATAATCATGATAGACATTTATTTAACTATAATTTAAATATGAAAAATTTGAATTTACATGTATTAAAGTCCATCTTTCATATCTTCAAAGAAGACTACATTTTATTATTCTTATGTACCAAATAAGAATTTTTTGAGATAGAAATCCTGTTTATCCCAATTTTCATTAGATCTGATACACAGCAAACCTAATTCTTTGATTTTCTAGTTAGTTTCAAATCTGCTGGGTACTCTAGATTCTTGAAGATTATGTTTGGATTTATTCTTGTGATATTTGTTGGTCATTTCAGGGTAGATAGTATTAGAGATAACTATAGGTTACTCTTGTTTTTCTGTATTAATTAGATTGCTGAGCTGGCAAGTCTGTTAGATCTAACTTGCTGAGCTGTCATAGATCATAGATCTCAGCCTATATATAGTTTTGTTGCAACTGTTTTCAGATAAAAAAATAGAAACTCAATTCTGTTACAATTTCTCTGCTTTCTATTATCTTAACATGGTATGCAGAGCTCTTTTTTTGATCTAGTGCTTCCATGGCATCTCCTTTCAACTCTGAGGGAAGCTTTCCCTCTTCGCATGTCAAACTGTCACATCTCATCTCGGTGAAGCTTGATGAGAAGAATTTCAAACAGTAGAAACAACAAATTGAAGGCGTAATCAAAGGACACAAGCTTCAGCGCTTCATCACGCCGCCGCTTGTATCTCCACGCCTCCTCGCCGCCGCCGATCCTGTTATCGGTGGCGAAAATTCGGCGTTTCTCGATTGGGAACAATAGGATGCACTTATCTGCACCTGGCTTCTCAGCACGATCTCTGTTTCTCTTCTTCCTGAACTGGTTGATTGCACCTATTCTTGGCAGGTTTGGACTGAAATTCACCGTCACTTCACTACTCTGCTAGCTACGAAGGCAAGACAACTTCGACCTGAGCTGCGTAACCTGACCAAAGGTTCGCGCAACATCACGAAATTTCTTCTTTGTGTTCGTGATATTAGAGAAGCTCTGGTTTCAATCGGTGATCCTGTTCCCTTTCGAAACCTAATTAAAATAGTGCTTGATGCACATTCGGAGGAATACGATGCTATTGTAGCAGCGATCAACAATAAAGAAGATTTGTGTTCTTCGGATGTGTTTGAGTTAAGTCTTATTGCTTATGAATCGTGCCTTGAGAAGAATCGTAAGTCTGCCCTAACTAAGTCTGTTACACTGAATCTGACTCAATCAGCTTCATCACCAGCTCTGTCACAGTCCACCACTGATAATGTGGAATCTGGTTCTGAGTTCCCTACTAGTACTATTCATGTTACTGCAAACGCTGATACTCATGGCTATGAAACTTGTGGTAGACGAAATTGGCATGGTGGAGGTCGCTCCGGACGTGGTGGTAGATTTGGGAAAGCTCCATGCCAAATTTGCCACAAATCTGGTCATGACGTGTCTGTATGCTACCACATGTATACTTATTCTGGAACTCCCTTGTTCAACACTCCCAGAGCTCCATTCAATCCTTATGTCGTGGCACCTCGTGCTCCTACCTATAGTGTGTATGGCTATGCTCCTCCTCGTGCTACAACACCACCATGACAACCTGTTCCTCAAGCTTTTCTTGCAGGTTCTGATCCTAATTTCAGTAATCAGTGGTGGTACCCTGACTCTGGCTTATCTCATCATGTGACACCTGATGCTTCGAATTTGTCTGATGCTTCATCTCTGAATGGTACTGAACAAGTGTACATGGGTAATGGCCAAGGTTTGTTAATTAACTCGGTAGGTTCTATGCCTTTTCCCTCACCAACAGTCAAATTCCACTCTTATTCTAGATAAACTTCTTCTTGTACCTCATATCAGTAAGAATCTCCTTAGTATCAGTAAGTTTGCTCAAGATAATCCTGTTTTCATTGAATTCCATCCTCAGTTTTGTTCTGTCAAATTGCAGGATTCTTTTGAGATTCTTCTTCATGGCATTGTGGGAGTTGATGGCCTCTACAGATTTGCTAATCCTACTCTTTCCAAGCTGCAAACTAATAGTAATAGCAATTGTAATAAGCCTAGTTCTTTCTGCGCAAGTACAGTTCCTATAGCAAACTCTATTGAACATTCTAATGTTCATCCTTTTAATACTTCTTCTAATATGAATAAAAGTGTTTTAGATTCTACTAAGTCGAATTTTGTTTCTATCCCTAATCCTACAGCAAACATACTATTTTTATCTTTATCTTTTGAGGTTGATTTTTTTAGTTTTCTGAATGAAGTTTGATTTGGAATTTGTTGGTTTTAACTTTGGAGTATGCTAATGATTTGGTGATGTTATTCAGTTCTTTTAGGTTTTTATTTTAAGACTTGCCCCGATCTTCATGTTTAATCTAGTAAGAGTTTGCAAAATAAAGTGAACTCTCACTCTTGGACAACTTACAAGAACACGACCCCCTTCCTTCTCAACCGTTGATCTACAATTATAAGTCGTCTATATTTCACACTGAACAAATCAAAGATAGTTATATCCATCTCCATTATATAAGTGTGACTTCATGTCAAAGTCAGGTATTCTTTTATTTATATTTTTTATGTTTCATCTTATTCATCTACTAACTTGAGCGTTGGAGTGCTAATTTTTTTTTTGCAGGTACCTCTTCTGTTCATTACATTGAATATCTTATCGCAACATCAACTTGAACCTTACCTAGTTTCAATAAGGAATAGTTATGGTAGAATGTTCTTTCAAATATAATTTATCTTAATATGATATGATCATGTTCATACAAGTCTTTTGCGTAGTACTAAACTTCAGGTAAATTTTGATACAATCTTAAATTGTGAATTTTATTTCATTTCATCTTTGTTGTCCTCAACTATAGTCTTGATATTTTTCATTCCTTTTTGACGGTTAGGTGGTGGTTGTTATGATACTTCACTTGGGTTGAGCTAGTTATTCTCCAAGCTATCATAAATTTATGGAGACTGTAAGTTAATTATGGTTCAACTGTGATAATAATTTAGGGTCTTATTTATTTATTTATTTAAGATATAATCATGATAGACATTTATTTAACTATAATTTAAATATGAAAAATTTGAATTTACATGTATTAAAGTCCATCTTTCATATCTTCAAAGAAGACTACATTTTATTATTCTTATGTACCAAATAAGAATTTTTTGAGATAGAAATCCTGTTTATCCCAATTTTCATTAGATCTGATACACAACAAACCTAATTCTTTGATTTTCTAGTTAGTTTCAAATCTGCTGGGTACTCTAGATTCTTGAAGATTATGTTTGGATTTATTCTTGTGATATTTGTTGGTCATTTCAGGGTAGATAGTATTAGAGATAACTATAGGTTACTCTTGTTTTTCTGTATTAATTAGATTGCTGAGCTGGCAAGTCTGTTTGATCTAACTTGCTGAGCTGTCATAGATCATAGATCTCAGCCTATATATAGTTTTGTTGCAACTGTTTTCAGATAAAAAAATAGAAACTCAATTCTGTTACAATTTCTCTGCTTTCTATTATCTTAACATGGTATGCAGAGCTCTTTTTTTGATCTAGTGCTTCCATGGCATCTC